CACCGCATCTTCAAGATTAGGAGATCCTGCACAAGCTAGTTTACCAATTCCTTGAATTTCTCCTTTTGCACCATCCCTAAAAGTCACATAACTAGTGATTGTAATCGAATGTTGACCAGGAAGTTCTCTATATCAGTCATGTATCTAGAACACCCACTATCAAAATACCAGTCTTCTTTGGTAGAAGCTATAAGAAAGATATGAGCAATAAGAGATTTGACAGTCTCTTTGGGAACCCACCTCTTGGTATTTTGCAAAGCCTTATGACTAATCTTGGGTTGAGAAAAAGACCTAGGATATCCACTCAGTCTGAAACAGAAAGGTTTGATATGACCAAACCTACCGCAGTAATGAAACTTCAATTGATGGGCCTTGCTAGCCTTTTTGCTAACCTGATGCTTGCCTTGATGTTGAGACATTTGTTTTAACATCCTTGAATTTTTTACCTTCCTAGAACCTGGTTTTGTATCCTGAAGGTCTCCTTTCAGGAACTGATTATTAAACCTTGTGCCTCTCAGATCACCAGCTTTTTGACCAACTTGAAGGATTTCATCTAACATGTTAGAACCATTGTTCAACATTCTTATAGACTTAGTCATATTTTCAAGCTTGGAAGTTAGCATGGTTACTTCATCATGCAGACTTTAGATGTTTGACATGCATTCTTCCTTCTCATAATGTAGTTGAGCAATAATTTCTTGTTGTTTCTCACTCTTAGTGCACATATTTTTGTAGGAAATAGCTAGTTCAGCATAAGAAGTCTCTTAATCATTGGACTCTACATCAGATGCCCATCTTCCAATCAAAGCAGTCACACATTTTTCTATTTCGCCATCACTTTCACATTTCTCTTCAGGCCACAAAGCTGCCAATCCCTTATATGGTTTCTTCAGATAAGTGAAACACTCTTCTTTAAAGTGTCTAAATCCTTCACACTCATGACATTTTACCCATCTATTCTAGTTAGTCTTTTCTTCAGTTCTTGCTTTTCCTTGAGGATTATAGCTGGAGTCAGAACTGATGTTCTGGACATTTGGTTTTGACTTCCTCTCCATTCTTCTCAGCACTTGATTGAACTGTCTTCCTTGTAACACAATGGCATTGGTCATTCCTCCATTTGTGTCAAGACCACTTTCTTCCGCTTCATCTCCTAAATTTTAATCAAAGGCAATGATTTTGCTCTTTTTCTCAATTCTATCACTTAAGGTCATTTCAAATGTTTGAAGTGAGCCAACTAATGCAGCAACCCTCATATTGCTGATGTTTTGAGCTTCCTCTATGGCAATGACCATCATGTCAAAACTCTTAGGAAGAGACCTAAGAATCTTCCTCACCAACTTCTCTTATGAAATCTTCTCCCCCAATGCACTAAAGGCATTAGCTATTTCAAGTATATTCATGTGAAAGTCATGAGTACTTTCATCTTCTCTCATCTTCAGATTCTCGAATTTGGTGGTGAGAAGCTAAAGTCTTAACATCTTCACTTCACTTTGGATGTCGTTTAATGAGTTGTCTTGAGAATTTCCCAAGCATCATTAGCCACAATACATGTGTTGATCAGTCTAAACATATTCTTGTCAACTCCATTGAACAAAGTATTCAAGGCTTTGGAGTTTCCAAGAGATGTCTCATCTTCCTCCTTGGTCCAATCTTCTTCTGGCTTTAAGGTTTCTTTTCCATTTTTATATTTAATCGCAGGGTTCTCCCACCCCTTGATGACAACCTTTCAAGTTATGTTATCCATAGATTTCAAGAAAGCCACCATACGTGCATTTCAATAGTCATAATTAGTGTCATCCAAGATTGGAGGCCTATTAACATTTCCTCCTCCTTCCTTGTCCATAGTACCAAATAGAAACTCCCTGGAGCTCACCCAAAAACAGAATAGGGTGACCTGCTTTGATGCTAATTGAAATGCTGGCACGCAAAAACCAGATGCCGAGACAGATGTCACAACACTGGGATCAAAACACAACTTGAACACACACAACCAAAAACTGTAAATAGCAGAAAATAAATAACACAAAAGTTATTAGCCCAGTTTGGTGCAACTCACTTATATTTAAGGGCTACCAAGCCAGAAAAGAAATCCATTATTAGTAGTATGAATTCAAAGCTAAATAATCTCAGTTTATAACTCCTCACTTAATCCCTATCCAGTGCAATTTCTACCTAGAAATCACCATCTAGATATGAGAATCTCTTCTCACTTCCTAAATCACCTCAGTGATATCAAACAGTCCCAATCCCAATGATTGTATACAAAACAAACAATAGAAGATCACACTTCCAAAACAATACTCGGTTTTGCTTAAAAGCTTCAACCAAGAACAATACACTATTTGCTTAAAAGCTTAGAATGAACAATGAACAATCATTCAAACGCAATGTATCTGAAGATACATGAGTGACATACAATTAACAAACGAAAAACCTTAGGGACCAACCAAAACAATGGCTAATCATAATTCTCTAAATTCTTACAATATACTCTTTTACTCCAATAGGGTTTCTCTTCTTTTTAAATAGCCTTTAGACCAACTGGACTTGGGCTTCTTGGGGCGCACAAATAGCAGCAATCAGTATAAACTGGCTGCAAATCAACCTGCATAAAAATAGGAGAAAAATACAAAATTTTCTAAAAAGGCTCAAGTATCTTTTTTTTATGAAAAGTAACAGAATATGCAATAACAAAATTTCCCATAATATTCTTCCATAACAGTCGCTCATATGTGCATCAGATCACACTCAAAAATCACACTAAAATTATCAAAAGAGTCACACCCTAACTATATGGTATAACATGTCCTAGAACATGTACTAACATCATGTAGAACATGATGTCTGACTGATATGGCAGAACATCTAGTTCAACACCTTGCTAACAACATGTTATTTTACCAAAATGCAGTCAATCCAAAAACCACATGACTTACACTCTCTTTTTAAAGCTTAGTATACACTTAGAATTATTTTTTGTTTTGAGAGAGCGAAATTCCTAATAAGAGTTGTACTTGTGTAAATTTTATTTATATCTGGATGAGTTGTAATTGTAAATTAAGTGTGTTATTTTCTGGTAACTCTGAGATAATTATAAAGGTTGCATCATAAACTTGGATAAAATTTTGGTGTAAGAAAGTTGCAGGATCATAAAATCTCAAGTTTTTAGTGAATCTCTCATGGAGAAATTCTTGAAAACTGAAGTAGGTCTCATGATTTAAAGGTTTAACTAGTAAACATTCTTGTGAATTATTTATTTTTCTATTATTTACTATTTTATGCACCTAAATCTCTGCTTCATTTCCTTTCTTAGAACTGACCTTTTTTATTAAGTAAAATCAATCTTTATATTTATAGTTTTTAAAACCTTTTTTATTATAATTTATTCTCTTTTGTGTTTGAAATCACTTGATTAACAAGCCCAAATAAACTTCTTTCTTCACCACTTGGAAGGACTTTCTCTTTTTTTTTTAATTCTGTAATAAATATAGGAAAAACACATGCAAATACGATCATATTTCAAAGTATTTGATCTATAAAAAATTTATTACTTTTTATGGATAGTATCTTTATAGTCAAAGTAATTGCAAGTATGTAATAAAAACAATAAATCAAGTATAATTATATTTTGTCTTAAAATATATATAAATTATTAATAATGTAGAAAATAAAGCATGGAAAAAGAAAGAGATTATAATTTCAATAAGGTAAATAATATAATCTATAAAAACAAAAATATAATAAAATATAAATAGACTTAGTTTTCCTTTATCTAATTATATTAAAATATCAATGATATGATATTTAATATATCCCTTCAAACTCAAAATATATTATCATGAAAATTAAAAGTATGTCAAACAAAAAAAATCAAATCAAAAATATTGTAACCAATGAAAAAGAAAACAATAATAAAAAAATAAACAATCATAAAATGGAGCAACAATCGAATAGAATAATAAATATAGAAATGACAAATATCTATAGAAAGAAAATAAATCATGCATAAAAAGAAGCAAATGAACCAAGGAAAGATACAACAATTAGAAAGAACCAGCCAAACAAAATAACATCAATCAAATAGAAGAATACATAGAAATAATTAATCAAAAAGAACCAATTAAAAGGAGGAACAATCAAAACAAAAGAACAATAGACACATGAATAACACATGTAAAAAGGATGACCATTCAATAGAAGAATCAAATCAAAACAAAATCAAATCAACTAAAGATATTCAAACGAAATTGAACCAAATTAACCAAATCAAACTAAATAACAAAAAAAAATCAATTCAAACCAAACCAAAATCAATCTAATTGAAACAAAATCAATTCAAACTATCATAAAAAGCAACTAAATCAAACCAAACCAAATTACAAAGAGAGATGCAACCATAGAGTACACATGAATACTAGAACGAACAATGAAAGAGTCCAATCTCAATCAATATTCAATCATATAAAGTAGAAGACATCATGTTGAAAACAATTCAACAATTCAACCAAATGATAATTTATCTTGAATAAACAAATTATTAAAATCAAAACAAAAATATTTTCAAACTTTTGAGAACACAATAGTAGAAATAACGAGTAATTCAAAGATAATCATAAATTTTTTTAAGTATTATGTTAAAATTCGAGATAATAAAATAAAAAAGAAAAAAAGATTAAAATTTTAATAATGTGAATAATATAATTTAAAAAAATAAATATTATAAAATAATATAACAAAATATAAAATATGTTATATTATTTTAAAAGTTGTTGATTTATAAATACCATAACCACCCTTGTATCTAGAATACATAAAATATATTAATTTTATTTTAAAAGTTGTTGATTTATAAATACCATAAATGAAATGAGATGTATCACATAAACCTTTCAGAAGGTCTTTCATCCTAATATACAAAAATATGTCACTTGTCTAAGTAACTTATTTTAACACGTTACGATCTGCTAATCACGATACGAGACGAGTTAAGAGGTTAGGAATTAGTTCTTAAGAAGTGGCTCAGTCTTGTCCTCCCACTTATTGAGCCTCTTATTTGATTCTACAACCTGCAATCACATGATATATTCATTATATATATTGAGAAATTCATTGGTAGGAGATAGTATTTGTTTGAGTAATTCTAACCTCTTTATTCCAGTCGGTTCGAAATGTGACGTATAATAAAATGATTGTTTGCAAAACTGTGCCAGCTAGCATTCCCAACCATATTCCCTATACAAAAAAAAAGAAACTGAATAAGCAATAAATAAGAGCTAAAAGGGAAGAAACAAGAAAATGATTTGGGTAGGAAATAAAAAATGATACCTTAGCACCAAATTTGAAATAGAATCCAAGAACCGAACCCAACGGTATGCCAATTCCATAATAACAACCTACGTTTACATACGCAACAAATGTTTGCCATCCGCATCCAACCGCCACACCTTTCATGCATATATAATATGTAATTTAGTATTTTATTCTTTCTAAACACATGCTTTACCTTACAAAAATAAAAATATTTTTTAAGTGGAGTTGCTTGAATTACAAGAAACAAATTTTCCTTTTTCTTCCTTATGCCAACATTAGCAAATTATTTCAGCAAATTGATATAACATAGCTTGTTTTGATTCAAACATTAATCCTTGATCAAGATCAACGACCAACTCGAATACAATTTTAAATAAATTCTTTGTGTGTGTGCTAGTATTCAAAGGTTAAAATTATGATTTATAAAGTGAACAAATAAAGGTGATCTTCAAGTTTCAAGATGTTTTTGATATTGTGAATGATGAACTTGCAACTTTGGAGGATAATGTAAGAGAGGTGTTGAAGGCACAACATCGTGATCCAAGAAAGAAAGATAGAAATGGCTTATTTTATATTCATCAATCTGTGAATCTGTATATCTTTGAAAAAATTGGGACACACTTAAGAAAGTTTTTGGCGGTCATGATAAACTCAAGAAGATCAAGGTTCAACCATTAAGAAATCAATATGAAGTGCTTATAATGAACGAACAAGAACAAGTGGTTGAATTCCTCACAAAATTGGTGGTGGTGACTAGGGATGTTCAAAACTAAAACGGCACAATAGAAAAAATTTAACTAAACAAAACCTAACCAAAAACTGTAGAAAATTGTATTTGATTTGTATGTGTTTAATTTAACAAAACCGCACGATTCAGTTCGATTTGTGGTTTGTTTTTTGCAAACCGAACAAAACCGCATTATGTTACAAAATCTTACAAACTATTATATTTTCTTAATTCTTTAGAGAACTCAACAAATACTATGTGTATATTTTATCGAATTCTTTATATGCTATTCATTTTAATTTACATATCAATAAAAAATAAGATATTATTTATTTATAAATACTACTATTTTTATTTGGAATGACACATATATATATATATATATATATATATATATATATATATATATATATATATATATATATATATATATATATATATATATATATATATATATATATATATATATATATATATATATATATATATATATATATATATATATATATATATATATATATATATATATATATATATATATATATATATATATATATATATATATATATATATATATATATATATATATATATATATATATATATATATATATATATATATATATATATATATATATATATATATATATATATATATTTATTTATTTTTTTCATTTTTAATTTGTTAGACATTGATAAGGTTATGATTAAAAAGTTTACATTACTTTTGTATCCCTTAATGTAAAAAATATTAATAGTATTTCAAATTTATTTAAGAACGCAATTTTACATATTTCATTTAGTTATAAGATAAAATTGTAATACACAATTCATATTTATACATTAAATTATAAATTTATTTTTACAATTATAAACTTATTTTATGGTAACGTATGGATGATTAAATACAACATTATGTTGTCCTTTATATGTGTATAAAAATCTTGTAAATAGTCGAATCAATTGAATCAATCCAAACTGCTTTAGTTTGGTTTGATTTTATTTATAAAAGGTAATCGGACCAAACCGTACTGCATGTTTTTTTCTCTTGCAGTTCAGATGATTTTTAGCATCAAAACTGTGCAAACTGCACCGCAAACACCCCTAGTGGTGACTGATCAAATCAAAGCACGTAGTGAAACTATGAGTGAAATAATGAAAGTTGAGAAAGTTGAGAACCTTAACTCAAAAAATTGATAACATTGTTTGTGCATTAGAAGAATCAAAGACCTTGTTTTGCAATGAAAATTAAAAATATTTAAATATCTCTAGAAGCACATGAGTTGAGAATGACACAAAGGAATCTAGAAAATGTGATTGAGCATGTATCATAGGCCAAGATAAAGAAAAAGATGAAGTCTAGTGAATCAAGAAACTACAAAGGAAAAGAGAAGTGGAAAAAGTAGGAAGAAGTGTCTGAAAACTTCAACAAGAACACAAAAAATCATACTGCAAAATCAAGCAAAAGTGTAGCTACTGGTAGTAAAAAATTTCAGTAAACAAGTTGACAAGAAAGATGCACAACTACCAAAAGTATTACCATTATGCAAGATAATTCTACTTAAATGATAAATAGAATAAAGGAGAATCTCAACTTGCACAAGCAAATGTTAGTAACCAAGAAGTTGTTCTTCTAACGACCAAAACAAATTTGGATCAAGATAAATCCTTTTTGTGGTACCAAGGCACAAGGTGCGACAATAACATGTTTGGGAAGAAGGAATGGTTTTTAAAACTTGATGATTATGTGAAAATGAATATAAGGTTTATAGATAGCAGTCAAGTAATGTCATAAAGGATTGGAATTGTGCTTATTTGAAGGAAAGGCGACCAAGAATCAATCATAAATAAAGTGATGTATGTGTTATACAAGCAATATGGTAAGCATAGGTTAATTGCTTGAGAAAAAATATTCAATAAAGTTGGTGAACAGAGAATTAAAGGTTTATGATGCAAATGCAAGACTGGTCTTGAAAAATCTTATGTCAAGTAATAGAACCTTCAATATTGGTATCAATATTCTCGACCATCGGTAATTTACCTCAACAATAATCCAACAATGAATTAACCGTTCCCAAAAGATATGGTCACCTAAATCTCAAGAGCATGAGTATGCTCAATAAAAAAGAATGGTGTATGGTTTACCCCCATATTAAACCACAAGATGAAATAGGTGAAGCATATCCTGTAGAAAAGCAGAGGTTATCCAGAGATGACTTCTTTATGAAATAAATATCGAAACTAGAAATGGAATGCTTAGTTTTGTGTGGGTATTTTGAATCAAATACATGGGAGGTAAAAAGTTTATTTTTTACTATCATATATGAGTAGACTTAACACATTTGACTCTATCTAATTGAAAAGAAAAGTGACGTGTTTAAAATGTTTATGATATTTATGATACATGTTTAGAACAAAATTAATGTAGTCTAAAGAGATTGAGAATAAATGATAGAGGTGAATTAAAATCTATTGGAATAGTAGCTAGTACCCATAGGAAAGTGGAAGGCTAGAAACAACTTAAAGAAAATGAGAGATATCAATTGCATTCCTAGGGCACACGTAAAAGTAATTTGCATTAGAGGGAATGTTGATTTGAAAGGATATGAACAAGGTGCTAAAAGACAAAATTCAGTACGTAGTACAACCACTTGCGTGCCTTGCAACAAAAAGGACACCACCACCTACTCTTCTGCACCACCAGTATGCTACGCTAAGGTGGCTGCAAAGGGTTTATTGAGTATGAAGTTGTAAAAAATATTACAGAGGACTACAAGGAACTGTGAGCTTATAGGATTGGGCATCTGTTCCTTCTCATGTGAGTACCATCAACTCGATGTACCCTCTAGGTAGGGTCGTCGTACTGTTAAACGCTTGCAAATATGACCCCTTGTATGGCAATAAATTTATTCAATCGAAGCCCATATTCTCAAATAGTTCATAGTACATGATTTCACACGAGATAAAACCATCGATCATAATTCGAGAACATCAAAATGTCTGATCGTAGCTGTTATGCTAGAGGTAAGATTTCGTTTGGCATTCTAGAACCCGAGCATTGGCCCCTCAGGGGTTTTGATTGACGTGCCTCTGCGCTTCTTATGGATGACTGCAATTTCAATGATATTTCTATTCATAGTCCCCTAAAATGGGATGTTTTCCCATAGGGCTCTCCAATGATGGCGAAAATGTAACAGCGTTTCTCCTTACTAGCTTCCTTATCTTTTCCAGTGGTTTCGACATCCATAGCTTTTGAGGGGGACTTACTCTTGGGTGACTCTCTCTCTCTCTCTCTCTCTCTCTCTCATCCCTTTACATTTTCAGACAGTCGACCCTTTTTCTATCAACCTCTTAATAGCATCTTTTAGTTGGATACAATCATCGGTGTTATGCCCATGACCCTTTTGGAAGCAGCAATATTTTGTCTTGTTCGTTTAGGATGACTCTTTGATGGGAAAAGGGTTTTTTATTACTCTCTTTTAGAACACCATGTTGGCACACTCTTGATAAATCTTTTCCTGTGATGCATTAAAAGAGTGTACTTATCGTACTACCCATGCATTCCCCGATCAGATTCATCTTTCTGCCAGGGCGACTAGAGTATAGACGCATAAAGGATGTTTCTGTGGATTCTTTGTCACTGGTTTCTCTACGTGATCTTGCAGAGGTACATTGTTTCCCGGTCTCCTTTGGGATTCTTAGGAGGAGTCTGTCGCTTCTTGCTCTTCTGGTGATTTTTTCATTTTCATCTCTTCTCGACGCGGTTGACTCGGGGATGGTGGTTTGACGTCTCTTTGATAGGGCTTCCTGCACGGTGTTTCCTTTTAGAGGCGCGTTCTGTAGGCTTTCTTCAAGACAAAGTAACCTCTCCTATATCACCTATTAATTATGGTGTCAAACGATGTTATATATGTTGTTCAACAATTCATTGACGCCTTGTATTCCGAGATTTCCTCACAATAGTTGGAAACCAAGCAATGCTTTCGGCTGTGAAGCTAGCAGTGGTATCAGAAGTCTAATCGGAGGTGTTGGAGTAAATCCTGAAATTCGAGGAGGTTGGAGTAAATCTGGATGGAATGGTGTATCTACCACTATTTGATCTGCAATACCTTAAGGAGGAGTAGATCTGGATGCAACGACATAATGGTTGACTGATGAGCATTACGGTGGGCCCTGAACAAGTTCAATAGCCGAATCTAACCGTAGTTAATCAAACCAAAATTGAAATAATCTAACCAAAATTAATTAATCAAATATATGGTTTTATGGTATGGTTCATTCAAGAAATCGAGCGAACTGTAGTTAATCAAACCAAAACTGAAATAACTGAGTCGAAGTTAATTAACAAAATATATGGTATTCATAGTATGGTTTAATCAAGGAATCAAACCAAACCAAATCGAACGAACCGTAGTAAATCAAACCAAAACTGAAGCAATTGAAGCGAAGTTAATTAACCAAATATATAGTATTCAAAGTATGGTTTACTCAAGGAATCAAACCAAACCAAATCCAACAAACCATTGTTAATCAAACCAAAATTGAAGTAATCGAACCAAAATTAATTAACCAAATATATAGTATTCATGGTACAGTTTAATTAAAGAATCAAATCGAACCAAATCGAATAATAATAAAAATTCAAAACAATTTGATTTAGAACTTAGAACTAGTATATCAAACCAATATTTGAGTTCAGCTCGGTAAGTAACTAAAATAGTTCAGTTCGATTATTTAAATTTTTTTTATGGTTTAATTTAATGTGATTTTCTATTTTAATTTTTAACTATACTGTCAACAAGTTTCAATGTTTTACTCGTAGCCATGTCAATTTAGCCCCTCATCCATTCTCTCCTCCACTTGTTGGGACAATTTTGGTGGTTGTTATAAAAATTCAAGATGTAATGAAAGATAATCATTCCAGATAAGACAGGTTGGATGCCGTTGAGGGCAATGGCAAGAGCGAGGAGAGGCCAAAGATCTGAGACAGCAGCAGCGACTTCTTCACCGTCTGTGAAGACATAGCTAATAACATCCCTTAATGCAAGAACCACAAAAGTGCTAAAATAACACATATTATGAAAGAAATCACAGTCACCACCACCACAGAAAATGAGGCTGATTTTGGATTTCCTGCTCCTAATTCATTGCTCACTCTCACACTGCATGATTATGCAAAACAACATGTTGGAAGTTTGAACTTCAAGAATGATGAATAGAATTAAAGAAATGTGAGAGAGAGAGAGAGAGAGAGAGAGAGAGAGAGAGAGAGAGAGAGAGAGAGAGAGAGAGAGAGAGAGAGAGAGAGAGAGAGAGAGAGAGAGAGAGAGAGAGAGAGAGAGAGAGAGAGAGAGAGAGAGAGAGAATCAAACCTTGCAGCTGCGTTAAATCCAACTGAGATCATGAACGTCCATCCAGACACTGTGGCACTACAATTTAGAAACACATTGAAGGTACATAAAGAGGAAAATTCAAATAAGTTTTGACAAAATTAAATTTGACTTTTTTTAATAGCAAATATAAGAAATTCTAATTTCGAATTTAATGAAGTAGTTAGTTCAATATATATTACAAGATAATTGAATTTTATTTTATTGTAATAGAAATGAGTTCCTGACATTAAAATTTTCCTAACTATTGATCAGGTTTTTAGGTGCAAACGTGGAAGCAATTATTTTCTTTATTCATATTGCAATGTTAATATTATTAGAATATTAATAGTAATTCATATTTATTTAGTTGTACTATTTTCTTAGCCCCTAAGTTTGTTAGAGGGTATTTTAGTATTTTATCTTATTCTAGTAACCCTAGTTTTAGTTTATAAATAGGGTGACAATCATTGTAACTTTTAAAAAAAATCATGTTTTTCTGCCGTCATTCTTAATAGAATATTTCTACCTTTTCATCATTTATTCTACCTTTGCACCAACAATTGGTATCTAGAGCTCCGGTTCAGATTCATTGGGAAACACGGGAAACACGAGTGAACGTGAGGTCTTGTGTGTTTGATTTTGATTCTTAGATTCGTGTTGAATCTTGAACAAAATCTGATCAGAATTTTATTCTGTGGGTTGGGAAACACTGTGTGAGAAACATTGAGTGTCTTGTGCAAGGTGAAGATGAACGGAAACGGAAACATGAACACCAAGCTTCCAGTATTTGACGGAAAAAACTAGAATCGTTGGATGATCCAAATGTGTGTACTGTTTGGTGCTCAAGATGTTTTAGATCTTGTCACTGATGGTTATGTTCCGGTAGCAGCAGATGCAACAGATGAACAGGAAAACGCGCAGAAGGAAGTAAGGAAGAAGGATCAGAAAGCATTATTCTTTATTCATCAATGTGTTGATGTAAATGTGTTTGAGAAGATTGCAGATTCAACGACAGCAAAGGCTGCGTGGGACACACTAGTTAGATGTTATGGTGAAGCTTCAGTCCTTGAGAAAGCAATATGAGAATCTCAACATGAAGAATAATGAGAAAGTTTCTGAATACATCTCCAGAGTGATTCTGATCACTAATGAGATGAAGGCGTGTGGAGAAACTCTTTCTGAAGAAACAATCATGGAGAAGGTATTGAGATCCCTTACCTCTCAATTTGATTACATTGTGGTAGCAATAGAACATTCCAAAGATCTGAGTACCATGAGAATTGAAGAGCTGCAGAGCAGTTTAGAAGCGCAAGAGTTGCGTTTGACTGAGAGAACTTCTGAAAGGGAAGTAGAGCAGCAGGCTCTGAAAGAAACTTCTGATAGGAGGTATCAGAAGCAGTCAGAAGCCAGGAGAAGATCTGATGGTGGTTAGAAGTCAGAAAGCTCAACCTCTGATAGACAAAAGAATGCTCAGAAGGGAAAAGAGAAGTATGACAAGAAGAAGATCCAATGTTACTGTTGTAAGAAGTTTGGTCACTTTGCTAGAGATTGTTGGTCAAACAAGGAAAAGAAATCAGAAGAAGCAAATATAGCCAGAAGTTCTGATGACGAATCTGTGCTATTGATGGCTTCTGAATCTGATAATATGGATCTGATAGACTGGTGGTATATGGACACTGGTTGTTCAAATCATCTTACTGGAAACAAGAAATGGTTGGTTGACTTTGACTCTGAAAAGAGGACAAAGATCAGATGTGCTGATGACAAATATCTTAATGCAGAAGGTATGGGAAATGTCAGAGTGACTCTGAACAATGGGAAAACAGCATTGATTCAGAACGTGTGGTATGTACCTGGCATCAGAAGCAATCTGATGAGTGTGGGACAATTAATTGAGAAAGGTTTTTCAGTTACTATGAAGGACAATCTTCTGAAGCTGTATGACTACAATCAGAAGTTGATTATGGAGTCAGAACAGGGAAGGAATAGAACATTCAAGGTGAATGTCAGAACTGCAGACTCAGAATGTCTTAGTGCAACATGTGCTGAGAAGGAGAGTGAGTTGTGGCACAAAAGATTTGGTCATTTGAATTTCAGAAGCCTAAAACATCTGAATTCAAAGAAGCTGGTACATGGAATTCCTGCAATTAAGAAGCCTGAGAAGTCATGCAAAGTTTGCATGGAAGGAAAACAACCACGTTTGCCATTTGCGTCAGAGGTTGCTCCAATAGCAAAACATGCCTTGGGAGTTGTACATTCTGATGTGTGTGGTCCATTTCCAATAGCATCAATTGGAGGGAATAAATACTTTGTGTTGTTTGTTGATGAATTCACAAGAATGACATGGATATCCCTTATTAAATTTAAACATGAGGTGTTTGATGAATTCAAGAAGTTCAGAATGAAGGCTGAGAATCAGAGTGGTCAGAAGTTGAAGATTCTTAGAACTGATGGTGGAGGTGAGTATAACTCCAAAGAGTTCCAGAAGTTCTGTGAGAAGAATGGAATTGAGCATGAGGTTACTGCTCCTTATACCCCTCAACACAATGGTCTTGCTGAAAGAAGAAACCGTACTTTGCTTGATATGGTGAGAAGCATGCTAAAGAAGAAGAAGCTTCCTCAGAAGCTCTGGGGAGAAGTTGTTGCCACTGCAACGTATGTACTCAATAGATGTCCTACGAAGAAGTTGAAGGAAATAGTTCCTATGCAGAAGTGGACTGGAGACAAGCAAAGTGTTAGTCATCTGAAGGTGTTTGGTTCTGTTTGCTATAAACATGTTCCAGAAGCCAGAAGACAGAAGTTGGATGATAGAAGCAAAGTGATGATTCTGATAGGGTACCACAGTACAGGTGCATACAAGCTCTATTGTCCAGAAACCAACAAAATTGAATTCAGCAGAGATGTGATTGTGAAGGAATCAGAAGTTTGGAATTGGGATAAGTCTCAATTTGATTCTGATGTTAGAACTTCTGAAGAAAGGTTAGAGTTAAGAATTTCTGAAGTTGAAGTAAACTCTGACGTTGATTCTGACTCTGATAGTGATTCTGACTCTGATAGTGATTCTGACTCTGGAGAAGACTCAGAAGATGAAGGTGACTCTAATGATCCAGACTCTGATGGTAATCCAGATTCTGGTGGAAATTCAGACTCTGAAGATGGCCAAGGCTCTGGAGGAAGTCAAGCCTCTGAAGCTAGAAATTCTGAAGTTCAAGACTCTGGAAATATGCCAGATCCTGAAGTTGGTCAAAGCTCTGGAGAAAGTCAATCATCTGAAGCCCAAGACTCTGAACAAGTTCAGAGACCACAAAGAATCAGAAGCGTTCCCAGAAGATTTGCAGAATTTGACATGCTGCAAGACACTGAAGTAGACTCTGAAGGAGAAGTTATTCAGTGTGCCATGTTAGTAGACTCTGAACCTATAAGTACAGAGGAGGCTCTTAAGCAGAAGCTCTGGCTGAAGGCCATGAAAGAAGAACTTGATGCTATAGAGAGAAACAAGACTTGGAAGCTGACAGAACTTCCAAAAGACAAGAAAGCCATCAGCGTTAGATGGGTTTTCAAGCAGAAGTTAAAGCCAGATGGTTCAATTGGCAAACATAAAGCAAGGTTGGTAGCCAGAGGATTTCTACAGAAACCTGGGCTAGATTATTCTGAAGTGTTTGCACCTGTAGCAAGACATGAAACAATCAGAATGGTGATTGCAGTAGCTGCTAACAGGAATTGGCCTCTGATGCATTTAGATGTAAAATCTGCATTTCTGAATGGTCCATTAGAAGAAGAAGTTTACGTGTCACAACCTCCTGGATTTGTGAAAAGGAATCAGGAAGGGATGGTGTACAGATTATACAAAGCTCTATATGGATTGAAACAAGCGCCCAGAGCTTGGAATCAGAAGATTGATTCATTTTTCAAGAAGCAAGGCTTTCAGAAATGTGAGATGGAGTACGGTGTCTATGTTCAACATACTTCTGAAGGCAATATGACTCTGGTATGTTTATATGTTGATGATATACTATTGACTGGAAGTTCTGAACAAGAGATAGCCAAGTTCAAGAAGGTTCTAATGAATGAATTTGAAATGAATGATCTAGGAAAAATGACATACTTTCTAGGGATGGAGTTCAGATATTCTGAGAAAGGTATCATTTTGCATCAACTCAAGTATGAATTAGAACTTCTGAAGAGATTTGATCTGAAGAATTGTAAGATGGCTGTCACACCTTCTGATACAAATCAGAAACTGGATTCAGACTCTGAAGGAAAGGATGTGGACGCTACAACCTTCAAACAGTTGGTTGGTTCTCTGAGGTATCTGTGCAATACCAGACCTGATATTTGCTACTCAGTTGGGATGGTTAGTAGGTTCATGAGTAAACCTAAGTGGTCCCATTATCAAGCTGCTGTCAGGATTCTAAGGTATATCAAAGGAACTCTGAAGTATGGAGTGTTATTTCCCTCTGGAGGAAATAATGAGTCAGAACTTCTGAGTTATTCAGACTCTGATTGGTGTGGAGACAGAGTTGACAGAAGAAGTACATTTGGGTACTTGTTCAAATTTCTGGGAGGTTCCATTTCTTGGTGTTCCAAGAAGCAACTTGTTGTGGCGTTGTCAACCTGTGAAGCTGAATACATTGCAGGTGCTGTTACTGCATGCCAAGCTGTGTGGATTCTGAATCTGTTGCAGGATCTGAAGATTAAAGTAGACAAACCTCTGAAGTTGATGATTGACAACAAATCTGTAATCAATCTTGCCAGAAACCCAGTGTTGCATGGGAGAAGCAAGCATATTGAGACCAAGTATCATTTTCTGAGACATCAAGTTCAGAGTGGAGTGTTAGAAGTTGTACACTGCAGCACTCAGAAGCAGTTGGCAGATGTTCTAACGAAAGCTATCAAGATTGATCAATTTCTCAGACTAAGGGATGGAATTGGTGTTACAAGTTTTGATGGAATATGAATTAAGGGATGGTATTAGAATATTAATAGTAATTCATATTTATTTAGTTGTACTATTTTCTTAGCCCCTAAGTTTGTTAGAGGGTATTTTAGTATTTTAT